TTAAATGAGATTGGACTTCTATAACCAGAGACGACTTAAAAGTTAAGCAATTTGCTAGAGATGTATTTAGGGGCAGGAAAGTGTGATCTAACAGATCCTGATAAAGGCAATAGTTGAAAACAGTGGAATGCACCCCCAGTGGGATGGCTAGTCTATGTGTCAACTTGGCTGGGCTGGAGCATCCGGTTGTTCAATCAAACATCGATGTAGGTGTTGCTATAAAGGTATTATGTAGATGTGCTTAAATACTACAATCAGTTGACTTTAAGTAACGCAGATTATCCTCGATAATATGGAGGGGCCTCATGCAATCAATTGAAAGGCCTTTATGTCCAAAACTGAGGTTTCCTTGGAGAACAGATTCCACCTGCAGGCTGCAGTATCAGCAAGTGCTTGAGAGTCTCTCGCCTGCTGCCGTCCCACAGATCTCACACCTGCCCAGCTGGGTCCCACAACTGCAAAGGACAAGTCCGTGAAATCTCCCTTTCTCTCTCTCCTGCTGCTTCTCAGGTAGAACCCTGACTGCCAGACCCACTTAGCTGTCATTCCTTAGTAAACTGGTTATGTTCTACTAGCAGTAGAGCTAGTTATGACAGTTCGAAGTTGAAGCCCTCCTGAACGGTGTTCAAATACCTGCACATTCACTGACTCCTGGGTGCTGGGTTAGACGCCTGTAAGGTGACCTACATCAACTTGCTCCTAGCATGGAAGTCCTCTTTTCAGTGTCTGTTATGGACGAAAGGTTTGTGCCTCCTCTCCTCATTTGCATACTGAAGACCTAACCCCCAGTGTTGCTGTACTTGGAGATGGGAACTCAAAGAAAATAATTAAAGTTACAAGAGATCATAAGGGTTGTGGTCCTACAGGACTAGTGTTCTTATAAAAAGAGACACCAGAGCACTCCCACACTCCCCCCATGGAAAGGCCATGTGAGGACATAGTGGCTGTCTGTGAAGCCCTCACCAGAAACCACACCTTGTCAGAACATTGATCTTGGACTTTCAGCCTCCAGAACTGTAAAAAAAATAAATTCTGTGGTTTAAGCTGCCCAGTCTGTGACATTTTGTTACAGCAGCGTGAGCTAATACAGTATCCGTGACTGATGACAGTCCTCAATCCAGGGTATTCCGTTATTGGCAAACTCTAATCAATTAGAAGTTATTGCTTAAATGTAAGAAAAAAACCTTGCACTTATAACTTCTGCCCACCTTTCTCACCACATTACATTGTGTTAATTTAGTGCTCATCTCTAGAAAAGGTTACATATACTAAAAACTAACATTTGGAAAAAACCAAAAAGAACAGAAGGCAAACATTATGACACCTCAAGTTATTCTTGGGTTTCTAACCTAGCAACATTTCTTAGCACAAAAGCTTCAGGGGCCAAATTAGCTGACAGCCACAGGTATGGAAAGCCATGGTGCTGATGTCACCTCTGTGCCACCTAGACATGTGGAATTCAGTCTAAGGGAACCACGGAGGATGATCTTTGTGGACATCATGCCATGAAAACCAAAGGGACTCTGAGGTCTAAAAGTCTTAGGTCTTATGTGGATCATACAGATTCGTTATACTGATTCCGAGCACACACTGAAGTGTGGACACAGTGATAGAATCAGGCCACACAGAGACAGGCAGCATGGCAGAGTGGCAACTGATCCCCCACACTCTCCTCTTACCCAGAAGCAGGACCTCAGGCTGATAACCCTGCCCGAGCC